CCATGGGTCACCAAGAGTCGGACACAACTTTTCACTTTCGTGCACTGGAGAAGGAAATGGCAACCCACTCCAGTGTTCTTGCCTGGAGAATCCCAGGGACGGAGGAGCCTGGTGGGCTGCTGTCTATGGGGTCGCACAGAGTCGGACACGACTGATGCGACTTAGCAGCAGCAGCAACATACATAACTTCCAAGCACTAGACCCTAAGAGAAATGGTACTGCATAGAAAATTTGGAAAAATAAGCAAGAAATTTATACACACGCACACACATATATTTATATATATATATTTTAGGGTGGTTAGTTTTTTTTTATATATACCCACTGCTTTATCTCTTTATTTATTTATGGCTGCACTGGGTCTTCCTTGCTGCACACAGGCTTTCTCTGGTTGCAGAGAATGGGGGCTACTCTATAGCTGTGGTGTGCAGGCTTCTCATTGCTATGGCTTCTTTAGTTACAGATCACAGGCTCTAGGCTGCAGGCTTTGAACTTGGGGCTAGCAGGCTCTAGATGTGTGGGATTCAGTTGCTCCTTGGCATATGGAATGTTCCCTGACCAGGGATTGAACCCATGTCCCCTGCCTTGGCAGATGGGTTCCTATCCACTGCACCACCAGGGAAGTCTCCAAGAAATCGATAATATTTATCCGAAAGGGGATATGGGCGGTTAGGGACAGGGTAAAGAAACTTCACGTCTGTAACCTTTGCATTTCCCTTTTTAACTTTGAACCATGTATTACTGCATTGCTATTCAAAGAAATAGACTTTAAACTTTTAAAAAATATTATATAGAAATGTAGCATTTCTATATGTAATATGTAACATTTCTAATGTTATTAACATAGAATAACCACAGTACTTCTCACTGCCTTTTTTTCAATTACTAAACTATGAAAATAAAGCCACTTCATTTTCAACATGATTATATCTTTTTAACAGAATTTGTGGCCCCAGGGCAAGTTTGTTGTTGTTGAGAATTAAACAGTCTTACCATAATTTTGAAGTGCTTCCCTGATGGTTCAGAGGTAAAGAATCTGCTTGCATTGCAGACGATGGGGGGAGGGGGATGCGGGGCGGGGGAGGGGGAAGATGCTGGTTCAATCCCTGGGAGGTAAGATCCCCTGGAGAAGGAAATGGCAACTAGTTCCAGTATTCTTGCTGGGACAATCCCAGGGACAGAGGAGCCTGGCGGGCTATGTAGTTCACGGGGTCGCAAAGTGGGAGATGCGACTGAGAAGGCACGCACCATTATTTTGAAAGACTAATTTCCTCGATGGTAGGTTAAATTGAGTGGAATGAGTTATTTTCTAAGGATAACACTAAGTGCAGGTAGGGCAGCCGTTTTACTCCTGAGTTCATAGAGAAATGGAGAGAAAAGTGAACGAAGAGTTAGTGGTTAACTCTGACCTTGCTATGGGGTACCATTAGTCGTGCACCGCTAAGGCTCCTGTGAGCTTTGGCGGTCTTCCAAAGCGCGTGTACTAGATAGGATCCTGAATTTTTCCTGATCTGCTGCCATGACCAGTCCAGGGTAGGATTAGGACTTTCCTAGGTCCCCAAACATTGGAAAGATGACAGTGTCCCTCTCTCTTTATGCAATTAAAAACAGAAATTCACTTAAGAAATTAAAAGTTAAATTAGGGTGAATGAAAGGCCTTCATTCTAGACTTTCTGGAATAAAAGTGCAGAATAAATTCATCAAAGCTGAACTTTTTTCCTGCATTTTCCTTCCTTTCCAATATGTTAACATTTTTTTTAAAAAATTTTTTAATTTTTTAAATTTTTTTAAATTTTTTTTATTTTTATTAGTTGGAGGCTAATTACTTTACATCATTATAGTAGTTTTTGTTATACATTGAAATGAATTAGCCATGGATTTACATGTATTCCCCATCCCAGTCCCCCCTCCCACCTCCCTCTCCAATATGTTAAACTTAATCAGAAGTCTGTTCCACCATCCAGAACTCGCAGGCTCTAAAGCCGGAACCACGCGGCTCCCCTAAGTGGCCAGCCCTAACCCACCAGCAATCTCCTTTGCCCCACCCATCTGGCATTTAGCCCCGCCTACTTCACGTGTCGCCGTGACGTCAGCACGCCGTCGCAGAAGCCTGGCATCAAATGAGCGCAGGTGGCTGCGGTCCTTCGTCGGGGTCTCGAATGCGCAGGCGCTGTCGTTCCGGGAGCTCTGAAGACCTGGCGGAGCCCGGCGCGGATGGAGGCCTCGGGGCGGCGGGGGCGGAGCGCGCCGCGAGCGGGGGGCATGTCCGCGGCGGGCGCCGTCTAGAGGAAGGCCGAGCAGCCACCACCACGCTTTCAGTCGCGGCGAGACGCAAGCGAGCCAGGCTGAGGGCCGCGGCGGCAATGCAGCGACGGCGGCGCCCACCGCCGCCCGCCTCTCAGCTGCCGGAGGGCTGCGGGGGAGGCGGCGGCGGCCGCGGGGGAGGCGGCGGGAGCGAGGAGGTGGAAGTGCAGTTCTCCGCCGGGCGTTTGGGTTTCGCAGCGGCAGTTTCGGCGGCGGCGGCCGCGCGCAGCACGGAGGAAGAGGAGGAGAGGCTCGAGCGCGAGCACTTCTGGAAGATCATAAATGCCTTCCGCTACTACGGGTAAGGAGCCCGTGGCGGACCCCGGCTCAGCCCGTCGGGGCGCCAGCCCCTTGCGGCGGAGCCGCCGGACGCCACGCCTCCGGGGCGTCGGAACCGGGCCGCCTGAGCTGACCTCCGGGCCCCCGAGTCATCTCGCACCACCTTAGCCCCTCCCGACCCAGCACACCCGCGTGTCTGCCGCGCCGTCTGCTGCTCAGCCTCTTGTCTTCTGACCTCAGGATCAGATTAGCCCTCTTGCCTTCCATCCCTCGTTAAAGGTTTGGCTTTGAGGCCCGTGGGGATGACCGGAGAAGTGCTGTAAGAATTTCAGATAGAAGATGTTGATGGTAAAATCGTCCAGTGCTGGGCATGATTTGTTTGTGTTGTCGATGTCCTCCAAACTGAACAGACGGAGAGCCCAAGTTCACCTACACGTGGGATGCTGTAGGACATTTTTTCCCGAACTGTTGCCAGTTCTTGTTAAGGAGCGCTGTGAGCGCACAGGCACTTTTGTGGTCCCCTACCCCCCACCCCCCATTTGGCGCGGTGAACGCAAGGCACTTTTGTGGTGAGCCAGTGAAGGATGCCACTCGGTGTCTTTAACTGGTGGGTGAAATTAAGGTCGTAGATAGTCCGGATGTTCTAAAATTTGCAAATTTTTAGGGAGGGAAATGAGAGGAAACACTGTAGGAGCCGCCTTTATGATCTTTTCTGCAAATATGTATCGAATTCTCACTGGATTGGGCATCGTGGTAGGATTTTTAAACTTGCTAACTTGCACTTTCTTATAAGTAAATCTTCAAGTGGCTTAGTCACAAACTTGTAATAACAAGATCTGAAAGGGACTTAAAACAACTGGGTTTTCAGGTAAAGGAAGCACTTTTATTCGTATGAGGGATGAGTCCACCGACTACTGTGTTCTGAGTCTGCATTTGGAATCAGATAGACGTGACCTCCTACTCAAGAAAAACTGTTCCCTTAGATGGGCTCCTGCTGTGCTTTATGCAAATTTTTTAATATTGCTTGACTGACCTCCTCAAGGGCAGGGACTGATCCTTATTTATTTTTGTGTCACCAGTGCCTGGCGTTTTGTTGGAACTCTATTTTTAACAGGACGAGTAGCAGCAAAGAAGTACATTTGTCATTCCCAGATAGTTTGTCAAGTTTGTAACTGATGGTTAGTTTGTTACTATTCTGAATTTCAAAACTTGCTTAGTAAAAGCTTTTTTAGACTCTGATTACATTTGTGACATGAAGTTTTGAGGTTGAAAGATCTTGATGAAATAATTTACTAATTAAACCCAGGCATATGAGCCATGGACCACCTTACTTACGGAGCTCTGAAGGGAATTAGTAGTACGGGGATTTTATTAGTATCAACAGAGGGAGAAAGGAAGACAACCAGAGAATTGAATTTGTTGTAAGTATTATGTCTGGAAGAACCATACAGGGAGAGGAAGGAGCTGACATTAGGTAGCTCAAAGTGGTAGGTACAGAAAAGTCTGGTATATTTTAATGTTGAAAAAATGTAGAAAGCATATTGGGAAATGTCCTGGGACTGTAGTAGACACAGCTGAAATGTGTGTTTGTATATTAGGCGTAGTATGTATTAGGACTACTTTAGAATTGATATTTATGATTAAGTATCAGCTGGGCCTTTTTGTTGGGGAGGGCAAGGGATTTTGATCTGAAACTAGGACCCAAGTGTGGTAATATAGAAAAGGACACTGTGTGTGTGTTCAGGTGGTTGTGATACGGTTTCCTACACTCTTCTCCCTCTTCTGTAGCAATTCAGTGTGAGATCGAGGAAAATTTCATTTTTTACAACAATCCTTTTTATTTGTATGTACTCAAAAAAATGGAAATCCCTTATACTAAAAATAGTATACAGTTAAACATGTTTAGAATTATGGAAAGGATTGTGTAGCAGAAAACACTGAATTATTACCTTCCAACATTTTATAATCTTATAGACCTATACTGCCCAATATAATAGCCACTAATCACATCTGGCTGAACTTAAGCTTAAATTAACTAAAATGTAGTAAGATTTACAGTTCGTCTTTTCAGTCTAGGTAGCCATATTTCAGGTGCTCAGTAGCCACGTGTGGCTGTTGTCTGCTGTCTTGGACAGTGCAGATGTAAGCCTTTCCATCATTGTAGTAAGTTCTTAGGGACAGTCCTTTTCTATACTGTTAGCAGGTACATCCCGATATTGGAGAACTGGGTCTTACTGCTCACTGTCTTTTCGTCAGGATATGGGAGATTTAGATAAAGGTCGTGAGGCAAGAAATGTCTTCTGATTAATATTTTCTCTTTCCAGTGGCTTTCAATTTTGTACTTCCTACACATTTTGCTTAGATGACATAGTCTCACTAAGGTAAAATGATTATAGCATTGTACTGAATAGCAAAAAATGTTAGCCTTAAGTTACCACTTTTGTTAAAAATGGAGATACCTACTGATATAGGATATGCTACATTTGAAATATCAAAGGTCTCGTCAGAAATGTCCTACTTTTAGAAATAGCAGTTAGGTGGGATCTTAAACACAGATGCAGAGCTCACGGGGGAGGAAACGGCAGCCCACTCCAGCGTTCCTGCCTGGAGAACCCCAGGGACGGCGGAGCCTGGTGGGCTGCCGTCTATGGGGTCGCGTAGAGTCAGACACGACTGAAGCGGCTTAGCCCCAGCAGCAGAGCTCACTCTTACAGGTGAGGGGATAGGCACGTAAAGAAGTAGGCAACTTGCACAGGGTTGTCCGACCAAATTGTGGTAGAGTCTGGCCTGAAATCTAAAAGCATTAACTAAAAATTTACCCTGTATTAGTAAGCAGTGACGCTAGTAAGACAATTTCAACTTTGGGTATTTAATAAATATTTAAAATGGATTGAGACACTCTGCTGAATAGATATGTTTCCCTGTTTGGAATTCTAGAACAGTTCAGCTGGAGCGGAGGAATGGGTCTGTGACTCTTGGCCAGATCTATCATTGGACCCACTCTTATAAAAGGTGACTGAGTCAGAGTTGGGGTCACTGCCTTGTAGAGGGAGCTTGAGGTAGGGATACACTTGAGGAAATATAGCCACTGACCCTACTTTCTGCTTTGAGGTACCCAAGGATGTGGCCCCTTAATGCTGACTCAGTTCAGAACCAAGGAGAGTCTGAAGGTTGTAAAACATTCCTTTAAAACAGGGTTGGCGAACTTTTCTTAAAGAGCTAGGCAATGAATATTTTAAACTCTGAGAGCTAGGTGGTCTTTGTTAAAACTGGAGGCCTGTGCGCTTGTGTGAAAGCAACCGCAGGTAGTATGGGAAGGAATGGGCATAGCTGTCTTCCAGCGGAACTCTTTACAAAAACAGGCAAGTAGCCGGGAGGTCATAACTTGTCTGCCGCTGTCTTAAGCACATTGGTGATGTAAGCATTTACAGAGGACTGAAATTAGCCCCAGTTAAAAAATCCCACAGACAGAGGAGCCTGGCAGGCTACAGTCTATGGGGGTCACAGAAGTCAGGCACGACTTGAGTGACTTAACATGCTTGCATGCACAAAAGGATTCTGGTCATCTTGATCGTGTGAGCTATGAGTAGAGGCGTTTTAGGATGACTCGTTAGTTTCTGACTTGGTGGATGTGTGGTGTACCATTGATCAACAGCAGCCATTTAGGAAGAAGTACAAATTTCTTTGGTGGGACATGTGCTAAGTTCAGGTTGGGAATGTTGAGTTTTGAGGTGTGCTCAGAGGGAGGGTGTAGGGCATCCAGGGCCCAGGAATTCAAGGAAGCAGTTACTATGAGACTCTCTAACCTGTTGACAGTAAATTATAAACAGTTGCAGCTCTGCTGTTTGCTGACTTTGAGTAGTTCCTTGGTGTCATACTCTACTGATAGCAACGTCAATTGATACAGTTTTTCTGAAAATCAGTTTGTATCAAGAACTTTACAAATTCTTACCTTTTCTGATGTGGTAATTCTTTTGGGAATTTGTGGTAATTTTTTTCCCTCTAGAATATAGATAGATTTTGAATAAAAAAAGTACATTGTGTAGTCAGGTAAAAGTATCTAGATGCCCAATATTTGGGAAATAGCTAAGTAAATTTTCGTTGTGTAAGATGGGATGATGAGCAGTCCTTTTAGTCGTTTGTCATATAGTCGTTTGAGAACTTTTTTCTGCCCTGGGAAAATTATTTTGATAAGGATGAAGAATTTCAAGTGTTTCTAAAACTTTAATATCCATGTGAGTCATTTGATGATCTTGTTAAAAGGCAGATTACATTTCAGTAGGTCTCGCATGGGACGGTGATTCTCCACTTCCAAGTAACATGCTGCATTTTTGACTAGAAAGGTATTAGATTACTTTGTCTTAAACGACAGCAATAAAGCAGAAATATGCCAAAGAGTTAGAAGTGCTTACCTCTAGAAGTGGAATTATTAGGAACTTACCCCCCACTGAGTACTTTTACTGCTCTGTATTTTTCATAGTTTCACTATGTATACATTAATTTTATAAATTAGATATACCTCTTATATTTGAGCTCTAATTATGTTTTAGGCACTGGGCTAAGAGTGTAGTGTGCATTATTTTGTTATTTCGGTGAAGTGTGTTAGGTAGGCAGAGGGATATACTGGTATTTGCCTCATGGAGTTTTATAGTGACTTGGTTTAGTGCCTGACACTTACTAAATCTCAATAAGTCATAGCTTCTATCATTATCATCATTGTTATATATTCCTTGTTTATGTATATGAGGCAGTTTAGGCACAGAGAAAGGAAGTAACTTGCCAAGAGTCACATAGCAAATAGGTAGCATAACCTGGATTTCAGTCCAGATCTGTTGGACTCCAGAGGTCACTATTAGACTGTCTCCAGGGGTTATTAAAAAAAAAAAGACGCAGCAGCAACAATTGGTACATCCACTGTCAACTCCAGTTTACATTATCCCTAACCACCCTCAGAATACCACCACACACAGTCTTCTAAAAATGTGACCAGGTTTTTGCATAAGTTTTGTCAAGGGTTTCTTCAGAATCTCCTTAGATGGGACTGTTCAGAAATTAGACACTGATTTGACATAAGAAGATAAAAATGAGAGAATTATCCGGATGACTAGAGGGATTCACACAGCCAAATGAAAAAGAATATTTTTCATGTCCATTTAGTACTGAGTAAGTGCTATGAACGTTTAAAAGAAACACATGATGCATTTATGTATTTATTTGTATATGTAAAATGTAAAGAATGATGTAGTGAACTTCTACCACCCAGTTTAAAAAAAAAACAATAGCTTATCATTTTCCCCTCAAAGGACATTTTTCTGGATTTTCATTTCCTTGCTTTCCTTGTAGTTTTTCTACGTATGTTCAGTCCCTACAATATATTGCTTATTTTAATATAAGATGAAATTTGTACATTATGTATTTTTCTGCAACTTGCTTTTTTCCAACAAATATTTTGTTCCTGAGTTTTATCCATTTTATTGTGTGTAGCTGTATTTATTGATTGTATTCTGTTGTACAACTATATTGTATTTTCTTTGTTCAGTCTATTGGAGATGGACTTTCTGGGTTGTTTCCAGATTTTTTTCTTGTTATTTCTTACAGTGCTGTGATGAGACTTATTCATGTGTCATGTGCCCATTTGCAAGAGTTTCTTGATTTTGTGTCTAAGGTGTGTATGATTGTTAGGTCATAGGGAGTGTGCATATTTTTACTAGGTAATGCTAAATTTTCTGAAGTGGTTGTACTAATTTATGTACCCACCATCAATCAGAATATAAATATTCTAAATCTTCCAAATTTTTACCAATATTTCATATAGTCAGTTGTTTAAATTCTGCCCGTCTGACTGATGTAAAATGATATTTCATTGTGAGTGTAATATTTAACTTAAAAATGATGTTCTTTTTAGGTTTTATAAATTGGTTGTCCTCAGAGTGACCTTTAGAGTTATCTGGAAACTGTTGTGAATGTTGTTGTATAAAAAGCTATAGAATTTCAGTTTTTTATTTGTTTACTACTTTTGTGGCATGTAAGATCATTTACAATATTTTTAAAAAGTTCAACTTGGTTGACTCAATAATTTTAAAACACAGTTTGTGTGTATTCTGATTTTAGAGCAGCATTCTGCTACTTGATGGATAAATCTAAAGCATTCAGCTGTTTTGCTGAAAACCTTTTTTGGAAATTGAAATCATAAAAATAAACTTATTGTGCATTAATCCTCTTTATGTTTGCTTTTTTTCCTCCCTTCTAATTGATGCAGATGTTTTAAACTATTGGTCTTTTGTTTAGTTGCTTACAGAGTTTGTAATACGATGTCAACATAGAAAACTTCGTAAGTCAATATCCTTTAAAAAACTGAAAGGTTGTAAATGGCTGGACAGTATACATTTTAGGGAAATAATTTGTATAGGAAGACAACCTTAAAATATTTTAAGATTGGCCTCTGGTGAGAATTCTTTTGCCAATTAAAAAAACACCTTTTATGTTTTAGCACCAGTATGCATGAGCGAGTGCACCGAACAGAAAGACAGTTTCGATCACTCCCAGCTAATCAACAGAAACTACTTCCTCAGTTTCTTCTTCACTTGGACAAGATCCGGAAATGTGTTGATCATAATCAAGAAATACTACTGACCATTGTGAATGATTGCATACATATGTTTGAAAATAAAGAATATGGAGAAGATGTATGTGAAATTTTGTTCTCTTTGTTTTTATTTTAGGATTTAATCTCTGTATTTTGAGATCTTTCTGGATTTCGTTTCTGTAATTTTGCACAGCTCATTTGCTCTACTGGGAGAATATTTTCACTTATTATGTTCAGTCCCTTTTATTAGGCTTGATAGCACAGTATACCAGAAACTGGATTTGTTGGCAGATTTTTTCCCCCCTCAACATACTAAGATAATTGTTGGCATTTTGATATACTTTTCACATAGTGTTCTGACTATTACAGCATGTGGAGTTAGTGACATTTTTTATAAACAATTTTACTAGCTATGTAAAATTAATTCACTTTGATATTTTCAGAATCTTATGTCTATTGATACTCATCTTTTACTTTAAAAAAATTAATTTTTACTTACAACTCTCAAGGGACTGGCAGAAATAGGAGCTCAAGTCCTTTTTGTATCCACAGGGTAGATACAGCTGGGCCACTTGAGCCTGTCCATGCTGTCCCATGAGTGATCTGAAGAAACTTTCTTCCCTCTCTTACAGTTTGGTCTCCATAGCAGTCCAGTTCTGATCCTCTCCTGAGTACAGGTTGCTTAGTTAGATGGTGGCTTCATGATTAATCTGTCATAATTTATTGGGGGTAGAAGTGAGACCACCAAACTCTTTTCATTTAGGATCTCAAGCTGCACTTGAACTCAGGTTGAGGTGAGAGGCTAGTGATTTACCCTCTAAACCATCTATAAGGGATCTTTATAGCGTGATTATTTATCTGTAACCATATGCAAGAGTGATTACTTTCTGAAAAACTAATTGATTTCTGTTTTTTAAACAGGGGAATGGAAAGATTATGCCAGCATCTACGTTTGACATGGATAAGTTAAAATCCACATTGAAACAGTTTGTGAGAGACTGGAGTGAAACTGGGAAAGCAGAAAGGGATGCCTGCTACCAACCAATCATTAAAGAAATTTTAAAAAATTTTCCAAAAGAGAAATGGTAAATAGTATCTTGCTTTTAACCAATTTCTTTAAGCTATGTAAGCACTGAGTTTCTCTTGAGAGAAATTTCACAGCCTTGATTCATTTTTACAGTTGTTGTGTGCCTGTATTTTTTCATGTGTTGGTGTGTGCTGTTATATGTGCTGTTCTCGGGTGCTTCATCTGTGTGAGATTGCAGTTGATGTTTTGAATAATTATTGTTCTAGCACTATGGGAAATTATCTAGAAATTAAATAATGGTTAGATTGAATGTTCGTTATCAATGATGTCTATCCTTTTATAATTTACTTTATGGCAGAGTGAAAAGCTCTAAACTATTTTAATTTTTCTCTTTATGGCATATGTGTATGCAAATGAGCGATCTATAGCTCAGAGAAGAGATTCTTAACTTTTTTATGCCATGAAAACTTTGAACAGTCTGAAGCCCATATTTTCTTTTTCAGTAAAACATTTCTAAATGAGTAAAGTGACATACATAGGATTGCAAAGAAACCAGTTATAAGTCTTAAAAGGAGATTTTAATAGATTTTGAAAATACCTGAATACTATATGTTATTTTGAGAATCTTAACTGCTAATATGAAGTGAAATATATATAATTTATGTTGGTGATAAAGTCACGGGTACTTCTAAAGCTACTATTGTTTGTTGGCTGCATTCACAGTTGATAGAAACATATCAGTTAAAGGCTAATGAAATTAAAATATAATTTTTTTTTTTCACCCGCTTGCAGGTGTAGTGAATTCTTTCCATAGACCTCTTTGGTCCATGGATCCCAGGTTAGGAACCTAACTCAGAGGTTATCTGTTTAAAGAGAACCAATGGATGGAGTTCAGTCTAGGATCTTTGAGGAAAGAAAGCCTCCTTTTCCTCATCTTCCCCTCTTTGTTGATTGACATCTTTAAGTTTAGATATATCTATTCAGAAATTTTAATACATATGCATATATCCCTTCTCTTTTTTGAAAACATTTTATTTTGAAATAAGTTCAAAGTTACCCAAGAAGTTGTATGAATTGTATAGAGAGCTCCTGTGTATTTTTCACCTAAATTCACCAATTCTTAGCATTTTACATTTGCTTTTTTGTTTCCTTTTCCTACTTCCCTTCTTTCTTCCCTCTTTTATGTGTTTATCCACGGCAGTACATATACACAATTATTTAAACTATTTGAGACATCAGTTTGTAGCCGTTTGTATTATATCATGTTTTTTACTTCTTATTATTTGAGCTTTTTCTTAAGAACAATGATACTCTATTACATAAACCCAGTGCAGTCACCAGATTGAGGCAATTTAAATTTGAATACTGTCTTCCTATCTATGGTCTATATTTAAACTTCACAAATTATCCTGATAATGTCCTCTGTAATAATCATTTTTCTGTTCAGTCTAGGATCCAGTCAAGGATGTTAGGTTTAATTCTGATGTCTTAGTCTTTAATCTGGAAGAGTTCCTTGGTCTTGTTTTTTTTAACTTTCATGACATTGACATTTTTGAAGAATATGAAGAAGTGATTTTATAGAATATTCTTCAGTTTGACATTGTCTTAGGCTTCTTCATGGTTAGGTCTAGATTGTGTGTCCTCTGTCAAAATAATACAGAGTTGATGTTGTATCCTTTTCAGGATATTACGTTCAGAGATATGCAATGTCTGTTAGTCCCTCATTGATTTTAATCAAGATGTTATCTGGTTCTTCCCACTATTTAGTTACTGTTTCTCTTCTTGCAACTAATAAGCAGTTGTTGAGTAGATACTTTGAGACCATGCTGTTTAGTATCCTGCTCCTTTGCAAACCCTCTCCCTCCTAAAATTGTCATCCGTTGAATCTTGCATGAACTAACCTTGTTATGATGTTTGTGGAATGGTGATTTTCTAACTCTACAGTTTACCAGCATTCTGTTAATATTCTTATCTATCTATCACAGGGATGACTCATGGTTCCTATTTATTCAGTAGGTTATAATCCACTACCATTGTTTTTTAAATTTCCTTCTTTAAATTTCCTCAGATTTGGCCAGTAGGATTCCAGTTGGTTGGTGCCTATGTCCTTTTGGCATGGCATGCTTCAATTAGTTTTTGGAGCACTTCCTTACTTTCTGGAATAATAAAGATGTTTTAGTTCAATCTTGTATTTTCCCTGCTTAAGTCCTGGAGTGGGTATTTTCCCAAGGACCTGGTTCCTTTTAATGCAGAATGGAGTGTAGAGACCAAGATCTGGCACTAGACATGTCGTTGTCCCTAAGATGTCATTGCTTATGGATCAGATAGAACTTAAACACACACCCCAAACACAAGAGATCATGAGTTCATATTGGTACTTTCAATTCTAATCCAATCCTGTTGGATTCTTCCTTTAGCTTCCCCCATTCTCTCTGTCTCTCAGTCTCTTCCACAATGAAAAACCTGGCTTCTGACATCAGTATATTTGCTTACTCACTCAGTCCTACAATACTTGGGCTTCCCTGGTAGCTCAGATGGTAAAGAATCTGCCTGTAATGTGGGAGACCTGGGTTCGATCCCTGGGTTGGGAAGAAGATCTCTTGAAGAAGGGACTGGCTACCCACTCCAGTATTATTGCCAGAAGTCCATGGACAAAGGAGCCTGGCAAGCTACAGTCTGTGGGGTCGCAAAGAGTCTGACACTACTGAGCAACTAACACTTTCTTTTTGTACAATACACACAAAAGTTTCAGAATTGTTACCTCCATATTATAGGAAAAACAAAACTACCAAAAGGAGTTCAGGATTTGCCAGGAAGTATTCTCCCCTCTAAGGGTTTTTAATAGAAATATTCTTCACTGTTTACTCAAATTAGCTCCCTTTCAGCCTTCTCACCCTAGGTGTGGTTATATTTTTTATGTGAAATCTAGTATATTTAGGTTTATTTTTGTTTGCTTTTAGTTTTAAGGTTGTGTGTCCCTGCCTCCTCCCCCATTCCTGTTGGTTTTTTAATTTTTTTGATTTGTGGACTATCATCTTGACAAAACTGTATAAAAAAAAGTGATATTCAGAAAAAATGTCATTCATTCCTCTGTCTTTTCTTTACCCAACTCTACCACATAGGAAATCAGTATTATTGATTTTTCATTTATCCTTCTTCTTTGTGTTTTCTGTCTTTTTTATGGAGGTAAGTAGGTATTTTTTTCCCCTCTCTAGGTATCCCCTTTTGTCATACACAAATCGCAGCATAATATATATTCTATTTTGCACTTTGATTTTTTTTCACTTAATGATACATCCTAAATTAGCTGTATATCAGTTCATGGAGATCTTAGTCAATCTTTTTTTTTTTTTAACAGTTTCAGACTACTTCGATCTCCTATACTTGGTTATTTAAGTAAAGAAGTTGGCAGTATCTTGCAATTATAATGCTATAGTTAATAACCTTGTGCATGTTTATTTTTGGATTGCTGGAGATGTATCTTTAGTGTAAATTCTTAGATGTGAGATTGCTGCATCTGAAAGGTAAATGTATATTGGTGCAACAAAATACCGTAAATTTAATTGCTTAAAACAGCACACATTTATACTATATAGTTTCTGTGTGGGTAGGAATCTGGGCATGGTTTCACTCTGTGTAGGACCTTACAAGGCTATAAAGATACCTGCTGGACTTTGTTCTCATCCAGAGACTTGACTGTAGAAGCATAGACTTGCAAGCTCATGCAGATTGTTGGCAGAATTTGTTCCATTGTGGTTACAGGCCCTGGCTTCCTGCTGACTGAGGGCTGGAAGCCTATCTCAGCTCCTGAAGGCCCCGCCCACTCCCTTGGGGGCCTTCACAATTGGCTACTTGGCCTTCCTCAAGCTAGCAAGAAAGTCTGGAGAGTAAGCAGGCTCTGTTACATTATAAGACTTCATTGAGTGTTTTATAATGTAACACAATCACAGGAGTGACATGTATTGGTGTTGCTTAGTTGGTAAAGAATCTGCCTGCAGTGCAGGAGACCTGGGTTCGATTCCTGGTTTGGGAAGATTCCCCTAGAGAAGGAAATGGCAACCCACTCCAGTATTCTTGCCTGGAGAATTCCATGGACAGAGGATCCTGGCAGGCCACCGTCCCTAGGGTTACAAAGAGTCGCAAAGAGTCAAGACAGGACTGAGCAACAACACTTTCACTTTTTTCATATGTAAGTATTTATTTCTGGACTCTGTTCTGTTCCATTGGTCTGTATGTCTTTATGCCAGTACCATACTTATTTTAATTTCTATAACTTTGCAAGTTTTGAAGTCAGGAAGTATGATTTGTACATTTTATTCTTTTTCAAGATTATTTTAGTTCTTTGGGGCGCTTTGCAATTTTATATGAATTTCAGAATCAGTTTCTCTATTTCTCTGAAAGAGGCTGTTGGAATATTGCCAGGAATTATGTTGAATATGTAGATTGTTTCTGGTGGTATTGATATCTTAATGATGAATAATGTTTCCCAGGTGGTGCTAGTGGTAAAGAACCCACCTGCCAATGTAGGAGACGTAAAAGGTGTAGGCTTGATCCCTGGGTGGGAAGACCCCTGGAAAAGCGCCTGGCAACCCACTCCTTTATTCTTCCCTAGAGAATCCTATGGACAGAGGAGCCTGGTGGGTTATAGTCCATAGGGTTGCAAAGAGTTGGACACACCTGAAGCGATTTAGCACTAGCACTAATTCATGAATATAGGTATTCTTTAATATCTTTCAGCCTTGTTTTTTAAGTTTCAGTATACAAGTTTTCAGTGCAGCATCTCCTTGGTTAGATTGAATCCTGTTTTTCATTCTTTTTCATGTTATATAAATGGAATTGTTTTCTTAATTTCCTCTTCTGATTGTTCTTTGCCGATGGATAGAAACAGAACTGATTTTTTTTTTAATGTGTTTATTTTTATGTGTTGCAACTTTGCTTAATTTGTTTACTGGCTCTAGTAGCTTTCTTGTTGATTCTTTGGGTTTTCCTACATAAAAGATCATCTTGTTTGTGAATAAAGGTAGTTTTTGCCTCTTCCTTTCCCATTTAAATAGCTCT